CGTTCATCTTCGGAACACAAATTAAGATATTTTTGATGGAATCTGAGAGCTGTCTGACCCTCCATAGACAGCAACACAACTGAAATGTTCCCAAGTCCAGAAACGTAGCAAGGAGATCTGTAAAATAATCCATGTGACATCAGGGGTTCAACCGTGATTTCACGAAGCTACGAGAATACTTTTTGTGCGCAAAAGAAAAAAAAATAACGACTTTATTCAACAATTCGTCTCCTCCGCGTCACCCTGGTGCTTTTTTGGAGAGTATCTGCTGGACGTAAACAGTGTATGCTGTTCTGTGTCAGCTGCGCCACGCGGATACGTTGTTTCCATTCAGATCAAATTACAACAACGTAGGAAACAAATCCGGCGAACAAGGTGAACTAACCCTTTAAGGGGTGGTAATATTATAATAAGATCCCCTTTCTACATCATGGGGGGAGCGAAATCAGGCGGGCTCGTTTTTTCACAAGCTTGCAGAGAAAGGCTTACCAAAAAAAATTACTGGGTTGTTCTTTTTCACATTTTCTGGGTTGATAAATTCACCGGGGATCAGATTATAGCGCTTAAACACAGAAAAGTTCAGATTTTCATGATATGTCACCTTTCATTTCAGTCTCAAGCGGAGCACACAGAGTGTCAGATTAAACTGGAGTTTGAGAAGCTTCATCAGTTTCTCAGAGATGAAGAAGAAATTGCAATCACTGCACTGAGGGAGGAAAAGGAGCGGAAGAATCAGATGATGCAGGAGAAGTTTGAGGAGATCAACAGACACATCTCAGCTCTTTCACACACAATCAGAGACTTGGAGAAGATGATGAATGCCAATGAAGTCTTGTTTCTAAAGGTCCCAGTTCAGATAATTGATTCATTAATTGATCACTGCAGGTATTGGTTACTTGAGGTGCTAAATTGTCTGTTTATTTTCCAGAACTTTCCAGATGCGATGGAAAGGTGAGTGATCTGTTCGTGTCCCTCGTGTCTATGGTTCTGAACACATCACAAAGCCACTGCAGTTCTGACTCCTGAATGTTCTTCCAGAGTCCAGAGCTTACGGTCGGATCCACAGCTGGCTTCTGGAGCTTTGATTGATGTGGCACGTTACCTGGGCAACCTGCCATTCAGAGCCTGGAAGAAGATGCAAGACGTTGTCCAAAACAGTGAGTCTTTAGAAAAGTGATTCTCAGCATTTTTGACTCCCAAGGCCATTGTCTAAGATAATATTATAAGACCCCCCTATGTGAGCTACAAAAATGTTCAAAAGTTTGGGAATGGTAAAATTTTTTCATGTCTCTTATGCTCAACTATACTGCATCTATTTGATCACAAATACGGTAAAAACAGTGATATTGTGAAATATTATTACAATTTAAAATAACTGTTTTCTGTTTGAACCTATTGTAAAATGTAATTTATTCCTGTGATGCAAAGCTGAATTTTCAGCATCATTACTCCAGTGGGCAGTACTTCTCAATGAGAGACTGATAATACGGCCTCAGACGCTCTACGTCCGGTAGTTCAGTGCTCTTGGTGTACAAGTCAAACTTGCTGCCAGAGGAAAGACAAACAGACGTACGTTATTGATCAGCCTGCAGAAACTCTCAGTCAGAGGTCAGACCTTCAATATGTGGGTCGTACACACAAACCAGATCTCATTGAGAAACTCGTGACATACTTAAACTCTTTGACCCAGGGCAGCATCTGTAGGTCTTTCTCGTTGCATAAGTGCATGTAGTCTCCGTTTGAATGCCAGGGGTAGAAGGAGTGGAAGCGGATCATGTAAAGACCCTGATGGAATTTGGGAGTGTTAAGCATAAATGAAATCACATTGTTTTTGTGTGTTTTAGTTGCTTGCTTTTCAGGTGAGCTCTGTGACATTACCTCCTCAGGGATGGTGCATTTGTTGAACTTCATCACCCGATATAGATACTCTAGAATGGAGCAAGAAGAATGTTCATTTGTCACAGCAGCAAATTCACTATCGCTGAAAAGTTTGATGTCAGTAAGAAATGTTTTGAAAAGAAGTCTCTTATTTTTACCAAGGCTGCATTTATTTGAACAAAATTACAGTAAGGATAGTATTATTGTGAAACGTTATTACAAATGAAAATAACTGTTTTCTATTGTAATATATTTTAAAATGTAATTTATTTCTGTGATGCAAAGCTGAATTTTCAGCATCATTACTCCAGTCTTCAGTGTCACATGATCCTTCAGAAATCAGTATAATATGCTGTTTTGCTGCTCAAGAAACAATTCTTATTATCAATATTGAAAACAGTTGTGCTGCGTAATACTGTTGTGGAATTGTCCTAATGATTCTTTGATAAATCGAAAGTTCAGAGTTTGAAAGTTTAAAATATAAATCTTTTGTAGTATTATAAAATGTCTTTACTGTCACTTTTAGTTAATTTCCTTGCTGAATAAAGTATAATTTTTTTTTTTTTTTTTTTTTTATTATACTGACCCCAAACTTTTGAACAGTGGTGCATTTCTGCTGTAATGAAAGCTGCTTGTTATCAAACCTTTTTTATTTACAGACACAATGGAGTGGCAATATATTAAAAGTAAATAATTAAAATACTTAAATCTTAAAATTAAAGACATTTTAATAGCTAAATGCATTTCTGGGTTCATACTTTTTATAACCAAATTAATTTACATGACATTTCCAGTCTTTTGTGACACTGTGACAAGTTTTTTTTTTTTTTTCTTTAATTCACAAATAATTTCTACGTGATAAAATAGTTTAGATCTTGACAACTACAAAAATTCATATTCATTACTGAAATTTCCATTAACTTTCCATGTCTGGAAATCACACTTATACAGCATGTAGATTTTCCAAGACCAGGGGAACAAATTAAAGCTGTCATTTAAAAATATATATTTTTTTTTTTTGTCGTTTTAAAGCTTGTTTTGCCTGTCTTTAAATTATTTTAAGCCCCCATGGAAGTGTGTGCTGAGGCCCTCTAGTAGTGGATCCTGGTTAAGAAACACTGATTTAAAAGATCTGTTCTGTCACACATATAATATAAATGACAAATGAGTGAATATTTAATTTAACTACACCAAAATAAACAAAAGAAAAAAATCTTTGTTATACATCATACTTACAATTGCAGTTATGTGGCAGATTTGTTTATTGTTTTTGTCATTGGATGCAAATATAACATTTCTCAAGCACATATTCACTATGACAACACTGACAGAAATCATCTGATAGTGTTTCAGCAATAGAGCGAGTGTTAATAATTGATCACTATATGAGCATCAGAAGAACAGCAGCTGTTGCTTGTGTCTCATCAGCTCCTGTGATTCTGGATCCGAACACGGCTCATCCAGATCTCCTCTTGTCTGATGATCTGACCAGTCTGACGTGCAGCGCCAACGGTCAAGCTCTTCCTGACAATCCAGAGAGATTCGAGCAGCACTCCTGTGTTCTGGGTTCAGAGGGGTTTAACTCAGGAACACACTGCTGGGATGTGGACGTCAAAGAGAGCTCGTCCTGGAGCCTTGGAATAACTACGGCATCAAACCAGAGGAAGGGATATGATTTCTTTGACAGTGGTGTGTGGAGTGTGCAGCACAGACTGTTTGAAGAGTCTGGTTTTCCTGTCGTACAAAAGCTGGAGCGGGTGAGAGTTAAGCTGGACTATGACAGAGGAACAGTGTCCTTCTCTGATCCTGTAACGAACACACTTCTGTACACATTCACAACCACCTTCACTGAGACCGTTTTTGCATTCTTTTATAGCTTTTCTCATCTGAGGATCGTATAGTTGAAGTGTTTGTTAAAGTTATTTATGTAGATTTGGAGGAATTTTTCAGGGCATATTTCAAGAACCATTTTATTTTCTTAGTATGAAGAACATTTTAATCATCTAAAGAAGCTTTTTCCACTATAAAGACCCTTTTGTGCTGTGGAAAATTTTTTTAAAAATCATGCAGGTTTGGAATGAGAATTTTGGTTGAACTGTCTTTTTAAGATAAATTCAGTAAAAGTGCTGTTGATATGATTATCACCAGTACAGATGTGATTGGGCCGCTGCAGGTGATCACATGACTGAAATCACAGCACAACTGAACGTCATATTGCTTCTTGTGCAGTAAACAATAAGTTTAAGGTATTACTATGTTTTCTTATCAGAATAATCCTCTCTAACACAAAAATACAAATGCCTAAAGTTCAAATAATAAGGGTGTCTTATACTTTTCACTTTAAGAAAAGATCACAAACAATTGAACCTTCAAAAATTGTTGGCTACATACAGGACAAGCATGAAATATTTATGAGCTCGATAAGAAGGGCTTCAGTTCAATAAGTATACATCAGAGTTTTGTTAACTAGATAACAGTTTTTCACTGACTTTCTAGCAATGTGTGTTTTTGCTTATGCTTACATTTAAATAAAGGTCACATTTCTATCAGTTGTTATGTTTATTGAGCAGGCTTGTATACCGCCACAAAGCTGAGACTTAAAAAAACTGATGGCATTTCCGGTAAGAGAACATTACAGTTTTTCTCGATTGCTAAAACACTATAACCAGGTTATGTGTCAAAACACTACTCCCCTGTTTTGACACATGAGTCAGATTAGTTGAGCTGTCACTGCAGAACTCTACACACAAATCCCTTAATTTCTTATTGCGTACACCATGTGGTCATTTTGAAAGCACTAGCCTTCAATACTGTTCACTCAAGTCAGCACAGCTTGAGCTCAGTTAGCACACACTTCCCCAGGTGACGGGGCAGGGGGCGGGGGCAAGGAGACAAGCAGTCTCGGATGAAATTCGAGCCACTTTAGTTGACCATGTCCTTGTCCATGGTATAACTATGAGGGAGGCTGGGCAACAAGTACAGCCAAATTTGAGTCACTTCACCGTCGCCTCCATCATCAGAGCCTTCAGGGAGGAAAACAGGTAGGTGTACTTACAGTAAGACTGCTCTGTACAGTAACTTTAGAGTGCTGTACTCTGTGCTGACAACACATACACTGTTGCACTATGCTACTGTAATAAAGAAATGCATCAAATTGCCTCGCATACAGAGAGTTTCAGTATGTTTCCATTTTTTTCCTGTAAAAAGGATGTTACAGTAATGAGTGCTTCTATTTTTGTAGGACACAGATACGACCACCGTGTGGAGGCAGGCTAAGGCTTTTGTCGGAGGAGCAAGAGAGGGAGCTTGTAAACATGGTCATTGCCAATAATGTAATCCGCAGGGGTGGATCAGGCATGCAAGAGGATTTTACCCTCGCTGCCTGGCTAGGGCCAATATAGCCTGTGATGTGATGAGATTCTCTGGCCTGACCCAGAACAAAGACAGCATGCTGAGGCGGAATTATTATTATTATTTTTTTTTTTTACAGTTGTGCAGTGTAGCACTGTGTGATGTCTGAGGGAAAAGTTTGGTTTTTCAGCAAGAGTGAATGGTTTTGAGTGTAGAGCTTCATTTTGACCTGAAAATAGGATGTTTGGGGAATTGGGTGAGATGTTATGGATTTGTGTTTACTGTTTTGAGAATACGAGGCATAGTTTCAAGAAATGTGTTTAAGCAATCGAGAAAAACTGTAATTAATTGAAATAAATTATATAAATAAATATCATTTAAATTATACAGTGTATGTAAATATATTTGTGTTAAGCCTATACATTTACAGATCATTGCATTAGAGAGACATTGATAGTGGGTTAGTATGTGTATGTGTTTGTTATATTACACTTTAAGTGATACATTCTGCTACAACAGGAACAAAGTGAACTATGATAATACTGTATATTAGACGTTTTAGTACAAATGAATATGCAGTACAAATGAATAAACAGCAGGTTTGAATGATTTGACATTGTTTGCTCATTCAGCAGTAAAACTGTGTAATTCTTAAACTGTTAAAGTTCATTTAGAAACAGTACAATTAATAAACGTAACAATACTGACCTCACAAAGAAGGTCAGAAAGGTTTTGTGGCGACCCTGTTCACTGACTGACTTGTTAAACCCTCATTAAACCCACTTTACCGCACTAATCACATTCCAGACCTCATGGAATTCCAGCATTGCAACCCAGCAATAAACTCTCAGAATTGCAAGATATAAACATTTTTCTCTGAATTATGAGTTTATTTATCACACTTCTGTTTTTGTTGGATGTCACAGTGTAGTGAGGACAAATCACCATAGAGTTTATGGAGAAAATGATATAACAATATGATATAACAATGTCTTTATATATGGTCAATTTCATCCTGCCAGCTTCACTGACACCGTCACTCTGAAAACCATAAGAAAGGGAAAGAAAGAGTTAAGAAAGGAATGAAGGAAGGACAGAAAGAGAGAGAGAATGAATCTGCCGCTGCGGGGAGGGGAAGTACGGATAAGAAGCTTCAATGAAACTGACCTTGAGACAATATCACACTGATATGTTATGATGACACACACTGAGACCTTGTTATAGGCTCCACTCTGTTTCCCTCACATGTGAACTGTTGCTCTGTTACAGGAAATGACCTGCCTTACAAGGTTGTGACCAGGTGTCATTCTGTCCTTCACGGCCGTCCTTTCTGCAGCTGTGCCCAATAATGACCCCGAGTCCACCACAAAGTCACTGCTGTCAGTAGGTACTTATATATATATATATATAGCTACGAAAATGTCTAGTCATTTTCAAAAATGTGTATGTGAACTGGTTTGGCAAGTGAGAACTTTACTGTAATGAATATGAAATTATTAAAACAAATGAATCAAGAACACTAATCCAACACTCAAATAATTAAAAATGGTTTAGGAAGATCCTGATTACAGCTGATTAAAATACTAATTTTCATTGAGTATTATGTTTTTTTTTAATGAATATTTTTATTTAACAGGGATGCATTAAAATGATCGGAAGTGACTATAAAGATATGTAAAATGTTACAAAATATTTATATTTTAAATAAATGCTGTACTTTTGAACTATTTAAAAAATATATCAGTTTCCACAAAAATATTAAGTAGCACAGCTGTTCTCTACATTGATAATCAGACATGTTTCTTGAGCAGCAAATCAGCATATTATGCTGATTTCTGAAGGATCATGTGACACTGAAGACTGGAGTAATGATGCTGAAAATTCAGCTTTGCATCACAGTGAAAAAAATTAACATATATTCAAATAGAAAGCAGTTATTTTTCATTGGTAATAATGTTTCTCAATATTACTGTTTTTACTGTAGTTGTGATCAAATAAACGCAGCCTTGGTGATCTTGACTTCTTTAAGAAACATTACAAAATCTCAACACCCACAAACCTGGAACAGTAGTGTATATAACTCTTTTCATGTTTACACTGCAAATATATGACTACATTTCTTCATATTTTCATATATTTTAAATATTAAAAATTTTGTATCTAAAAACATTCTTTAAAAATTATTTGATAATTTGTATAATGGTTTTACCAAACCAAATAAATGCACACAATATGATTTTGGTCTAAATTTGTATTATTTATTATTATTATTTATTAGCCCACTCTCTGCTCCAAAACACTGCTGTAAGATCTCAGTGCAACGTAACAAACACATAATACTGAACAACATCAGCACACTGGCAGATAACGGTCAGTCAAACACGAGCACGCATGATTATCTTGTGCGCCTGAATGGTTTAGGAAGATCCTGATTACAGCTGATTAAAATACTAATTTTCATTGAGTATTATGTTTTTTTTTAATGAATATTTTTATTTAACAGGGATGCATTAAAATGATCGGAAGTGACTATAAAGATATGTAAAATGTTACAAAATATTTATATTTTAAATAAATGCTGTACTTTTGAACTATTTAAAAAATATATCAGTTTCCACAAAAATATTAAGTAGCACAGCTGTTCTCTACATTGATAATCAGACATGTTTCTTGAGCAGCAAATCAGCATATTATGCTGATTTCTGAAGGATCATGTGACACTGAAGACTGGAGTAATGATGCTGAAAATTCAGCTTTGCATCACAGTGAAAAAAATTAACATATATTCAAATAGAAAGCAGTTATTTTTCATTGGTAATAATGTTTCTCAATATTACTGTTTTTACTGTAGTTGTGATCAAATAAACGCAGCCTTGGTGATCTTGACTTCTTTAAGAAACATTACAAAATCTCAACACCCACAAACCTGGAACAGTAGTGTATATAACTCTTTTCATGTTTACACTGCAAATATATGACTACATTTCTTCATATTTTCATATATTTTAAATATTAAAAATTTTGTATCTAAAAACATTCTTTAAAAATTATTTGATAATTTGTATAATGGTTTTACCAAACCAAATAAATGCACACAATATGATTTTGGTCTAAATTTGTATTATTTATTATTATTATTTATTAGCCCACTCTGCTCCAAAACACTGCTGTAAGATCTCAGTGCAACATAACAAACACATAATACTGAACAACATCAGCACACTGGCAGATAACGGTCAGTCAAACACAAGCACGCATGATTATCTTGTGCGCCTGAGGCCTTCTTCTGAAATATAATTACACTGAGAGAAGATCAGCATTATTACTGCATGACAGTTGATATGTGCAGGCTCTGGTGTGGCTGAAGTGGGATGACACTGTGTATGTTAAAGGGTTAGTTCACCCAAAAATGAAAATTAGCCCACAAATTACTCACCCTCAAGTCATCCTAGGTGTATATGACTTTCTTCTTTCAGACGAATCCAGTCGCGGGGAGTTATATTAAAAATGGTCTTTGCTCTTTCAAGCTGTTTAATGGCACTCAGCAGGTGTTGCATGCATCTGTCCAAAAGAACTTAATTAAAAAGCGCCCATCCTTTAAAAAGAAGTGTCTCACACGGCTCCAGGGGGTGAACAAAGGCCTCCTGTAGTGAATCAATGCGTTTTTGTAAGAAAAATATCCATATTCAAAACGTAATAATCACTTTAATGTAGCTTGCGCCAACAGTTGTACACGGAAGCAGTTCCGGGCGGATGACGTATGAGGTCAGCGTTGCGCATGCGCCGGT